TGTGTGGACTTCAACTCCCAGAATTCCCCAGCCAGCCATGTTGAAGTCCACACAGCTTAAAGCGGCCAGGGTTGAGAAACACTGGCATAGACAGTAACTTTCTAAGTAACTGTTCCTATGCTGTACTTTACATATTTCTTTATTCTGTTTGCACCCACTGATTTTCAAAAGAGCTAAGCAAACCTTATCTACTGTTTCTTGGTGGTATCCCATCCAGGTCTTGCCGTGTACAGGGCCAAACTTCTTAGCTTTAGCAGCTAAATTAAGATTTGTGCCTTTAGATGAGTGTCTGGGAAATTTCTTGGAAAGCCTTTCCATATTTTTATTTATTTACTTGCCTCTACAATTGCAAAATTCTCGATTTACTTGAATCTAGAATCGCTGCTGCCTGAGAGGAATTTTGCTTTATAAGACATACATTTTTTTGCTTTATAAGACATTGATTCTCAGTTTTTCACAGAAAAATGTTAGAGTAATGCTGATATGACTCAAATATTTTTCATATTTTATATATTTAATAAGAATTACATTTTGAAGAATCTTTTTGTTGAGTTACTCATTAAGAGTGTAGGAACAGAGAACACAATCTAGGTACAGAGAGAGGCAGAACACTGGAAAGGAAAAATCAATAGACAGAACATTTCCATTCTCTGTAAACAGGAAAAAGATTTTTTTGAAACTGATGTTCATAAGAGCACAGAAAGTTCCTTTATGGTACTGAAGAGTCTTCAGCTTCAGTCTTTCAGTAGGAACTTAACATTTTAATGGAACAGAAATGAATCCTAAAAAGCACTTTTCTCCTATACTCGTTGACTATGATTGCTTCTGGCTTTTTGGCACCATTTTATAAACTTGTCCTTGGCTTTTTCTTTCTCTTTAAGCAAATTATAGTAATCCCATCCAATCACAGAATATACAGTGGGTGTGACATTAGTGATATACAGTCATTCTGATTTAGCTAAATGATTATGTATTTATGGGCAATAATTTATATGACTTTAAAAAGTGTCAGGGCTAGACAAATTTATGAAAAACAAAATGACCAGTGGCCATTGTCCATGATGGTTCTATGCTGCTTATAGGATCAGAGGCAGCGAAGCTCTGAATATGACTAAATATGGTCTAGTTTAGCTACAGAGCTCTTTTCAAATCCCATGATGTCTCTGAAGTACAATGCAAATGAACAAGCCACCATTTTTTGCAAAGTGCATTGAGAGAAGGTATCTTCAGAAGAGGGGAGGCCCTTGGGTATCACTGGAACTATTTGCAGAAAAACTATTTTGAATTCTGGCTCCACTCTTACAAAATACATATAGGACATACATTCTAATGAGGTATCACTGGGCTCAAAACTTAAGATGGAAGGTGCCTGCTTATGAAGGCTGGCTCCTACCCCTGTCTCCAGTGAGGTGGCTAGAACGCAACCTTCTGTGACTTGTTTTCAAATTATCCAGTCACCTGAATGCAATGCATTGGAAACTTCTGGCTGGGACTTTCCAGACAACATACTCGTAAACAAATACAGGGGAAACTTTGGCTACACTCTTCAGTTACTTCCAGCTAGCAGCACCAAGTGCTCTGTGTTTGGATGGCACCGTCAGTGAAAATGAAATCATAGGCACAACTTGTTTCCTAGCTGGGCTTCTTAGTCCAAGAGTGAACCGCATATGTTGGTATGTTTTGTGCTAAGCCATTAGCCTGGCTTAACACACCACGTGAACATGCTCATCGTTCAATTATGTGTGAAGTTAATACACATACATGTGTATGAGTAGTTGTTACATGACGTACCTTCTTTCTATGTTGATTTTTGTAGGAGAAATACTCTGCAAGGTGATGATTTTTTCCCCTGCAGAATGGTTAGGGTTCAAGCTGAACTGAATATTCATTCCATTTATTTAGACAGCAGCTCTCCATCAAGTTTCTCCTCTTCCAAGAGAGTTCGCACAGCCTACACCCAAGCGCAGCTGGTGGAGCTGGAAAAAGAGTTTCATTTTAACAGGTACCTCTGCCGGCCCCGCAGACTGGAAATGGCACAGCTTTTGAGGCTCTCTGAGAGGCAAATCAAGATCTGGTTTCAGAACAGACGAATGAAGTACAAGAAAGACAGCAGAGTCAAGGGCACCATCTTGACATCCCTCAATAACAGCCCTCAAGTGGGTGACTATTATGGGCACGTGGAGGGTGACTACGAGGTGGCCCCATCAAGTTCATGCAGCAAATCCTTGGGAGAGCTCTGCAGTTCAACAGGGTACACAAATCCTCTCTGTAACAGCCCCTTGACTTCGCTCTCTATGGACTATGGCCCTTTCTCTGGACCGGGAGAAAGTCATCCTTATGGACCTCTAGTTCTTCAAGGGAGTCCAAGTGTGATGGGAGAAAATTACCTGGGAAATGTGCCCAGGGCTGACTCTTTCTTTAGCTACCCTGACTCCTCTTCTGGAAACCTGGAGTACAGCTGTGCTGCTGAAATCCCCAGCCATCCCCAGCTTGGGCCATTCAACTCACATCCCATTTACACAGATTTAACCACACATCCTGTGCCTCAGGGAGATTCTCAGGGACCTGTAAATCTTATGCATCTGTGAGAGCTCCCTGCCACTGAAACCAAGTAGGGGAAATTGCTACAGTCCTATTATCTCATTAAAACAAATACCTCTAAGTGCAACCAACAGTATTCCTCCATCCCCCACCTCTCTGCCCACCCATTACCTCCTATTTATTTAAGTGTATGGAAGAAACTTTTATTGGTGGGGGAAGATAGAGGTCACTGTTGGATGTTTTAAAGTTGATACTCAAGGCAAGATCAGTTTGATTTTGATGATGATGATGATGATGATGATGATGATGATGAT